GGGGGGGGGGGGCGTCTGCCCTGGAACCCAGTGAGGCTGAGGTCCGCTTGCAGTCCCGTGAATTTGGTGTGGCCCGTGGGTAGAGCTTTTGGGGTTGAGTTTCCTTGGCGCCGCGAGAGTTGCAACATGTTAATCCTCTAATACTCCTAGTCCTGCATTTTCGAGCGGTGTTGGCAGCTTTGAGACGATTGGCCATTGGCGATTTGGGCGACGATTTCGTGGTTGGTCGGTACATGGCAGGTCGTTTTGCGTGACCGTCGAAGTGGGGCGAGGTGAAGGTAATTTTCTGGAGGTCCTGAGGTCGGCTTGATTTTTAGCTTTTTCGGAAAATAAAGGCTTGAGCAGTGATATAATGGATTTACTCAAAAAATAAAGATTTTTCGCGATCTCCCCGACCTCAGTCTGCGATTTTGTGCTGAGTAATCGCATGTAGCAAGAATAAAAAAAGGTGGGCTTAATATAGAAGATTTTGCCCCATAAAAAAAATGCTATTTCCTCCTGCAGATCTCCGCCCATTGCTGTCGTGGAGATCAATTTGGTAGTTCAGAGTTGTTGCCAGTTGGTGTTATGATAAAGAAATTTGGGTTTCTTTTGAATAGCGGGTTTCCTTGCGTTTTAAGTGCTGCATAGATTGTTGGGCGATTCGGCGGAGTTGTCAATTGTGTCTGAATACCCTGGTGTCCACATCTTCGTGTTGGTCAGATTTCTACATGAAGTTAGTGCCGCGGAGACTGATTTGGTATGTCGGCGGGGCTGCTAATTGTGGTGGAAAAAATCTGGCGTAAATCTAACCGAAATCGCACTGTTTGGTTGGATTTAAATTGGCAACCTGGCGGTGTTGCCAACTGCTGTTCCACGTTTTTTTGGTCGCGCTCGAGTGGTCGAGCTCGTCAGGGCTTGATGAGCTGCTTCGCGCTGAAACTTGTGGTAATGGAGTTGTGAGGGAGGGGGGAGGGGTGATCCCTTCCCCGCTAAAGCGTTGTGGTGGCGGTGTCCATTTTCGTCATCCCTCTTGCTCTATGGGGTCCGTCGGTCCGACTGCCGGAAGCTCACTAATTGCCTATCCGCGGAATTTGAGTGGCTGAGTAATTTCCTTATGATTTTTAATGTTCTAATGTACATACTATTTACAATGTTGGGTAATATTTTTTTGTTTCGGTTAAATATGCTGAGATTTCTCGTGTTTTGTTGATAAGTGCATTCAAACCTAAGTGCGTAAGTGCAAAGCTATTTACAAGGCCTGTAACAAGAGTAAGGGGAAGGAAACGGATAAATCTTCTTTCGTCTGAAAAAGTTAGTTTTTTCTTAAGAAAGTAAGAATTACCCTGTACGAGGTTCTTGCTGTATACAAGCCTTTTTTATCTCAATAAGTTAACTCTTCTACTGGTACGGAACTACTTAGCATGGAAGAAAAAGTGCTGCAAATCATGCGACATGCTAATAAATCATGCGAACTATCGTGGAGAGTTGAGGGTGGTTAGGCATGTTTTTTAAACATGTAATTATGCAAAGTTATTTACGTGCACTAGTATGGTTCATTATGTATGAGAAGGAAACTACTAACCTACTGAACTATGATTGACTACGATGAGCTAATTAATTAATTAATTTTGACCTACTGAGCTACTGATTTATAACTATCTTTTCTATAGTTTACTATTTTACTGTACAACGCTATTAATAATGCTATTAGACAGTTATTTTAACAATTTTTGATAGATTCCAAGGCTGTAATTAGCGTTGGATTAAAATAAATGAAAAAATCTTGGTTTTATGCGCTAAGCGGGGCTAATATTTGTCGTTATTTACATATTTTTACTCTATCGATTCTTAACTCGCCATAGAGAACATCTTAACTCACAAATTTGGCCATGCTGGCAACTAGTGTTGGATACTTTAATTAATTAAATAATGAATAATGTAAATTAATTGGCTTCTCTGAACATGTAGTTACTCAAAGTTATTTACATCTTATTTCAATTGCCTAATTTTTTGTAAGTATGGTGTGGTAAGTAGAAGCCGGCGCAATTTCAGTGTTGTCAAATTGCTGAGGAAAGCAATTACATTTTGCTTTCGTCATGAACTAAGTAATTTTAAGTGAAAGTAGTGGGTACTTTCTAATATTGTAGTAAAGAGGAAAAGCTGCATCATTTTGGGAGCACTGTAATCGCGCCGGCTTCTCCTTGCCGCATGCGATTTATTCTATTTCTATAATACATTCTATATTTGATACTTAAAGTACATTGGCAGTAGCAGGCGTCCCCCACGGCTCTTAATTTAAATTAAAGAAGAAACAGAACCAGTTTGAATACACTACACAAAGTTTTCCTAAGGAGAGTGGCAAGTCTTAGGGCTTTGTGAATTATATTCACGTCTGGATACGTGTAATCGTTGAAAGCTCGTTTTTACAAGATGCTGATTTTCGTTTCTTCTGTATCTCAGAAATCTATCATTTTTGGAGCCTTAATTTATGTTGGCATGTCGTGTGACAAGTGAATTGAAATCAATGTTGTAAATGGATATTTATCTTCAGTTAGGCCCACGAAGCACGTTTTTTTTTGAGAGTTCTGTTGTTAGGGTGATCTTCGGAGTCCTAAGTGAAGACAAATTTTGTGGTGTTCTGAAGGTAGATGACCGTTAGTGGTTTTTGGGCCCTATGACAACCATTGGGTCGTCCCTAATTTCTGCATGTGGGGGGGGGGGGGGTGGATGAAATTTCCATTTGTTTGGAAACTGTTGCTCACACGAGGTGAGCGGCCTCCTAAAAAAAATTTATTTTATCCTACATACTACCCTTAACCTTTTTAATTCTAATACTTAGTGAGCATGATTCGTGTTTTAAAATAGTCGGTGTAAATTCATTTAATTTGCACGTTCGAGGCATAA